ATTTTTTTTTTCATTTTCCACGTATTTTTCTTATCAATCCTCAATATCACAGATCCAGTAAGAACAAAAACTTTTAATGAAATGTTAGTAAATAAAAATCACATCATATACGCCTGTAAACATACTGTACTAATCTCTTACTTTTAACAAAAATATTCATTAATACTCTGCATTCTCAGGCTCTAACAAAAGGGAACATTTAGCTATAATATTTGTAGGTAGCTTACAATGATAAGTAGTTAATTTTACATAACAAAAAGGAACGCATTTTTTTTTTTTACACAGCACGTATGGGACAACGAAATAGGTACATACTAATATTACCGATATCATATTTTCGAAATTTGAAATATATATATGCGAAAGAGAAATTACAAAAATAGTATTAACAACAGCTGTTAAAGTACTCTTAACAAAGAGTAGGTTTATCTCAGCCTTTGGATCAACGCGCTGTGGAGTATAAAAGAAGATAACGGCTTTCAAATAGAAGGTTGTATAGAAATTGAATGTCAATCTGCCATTGTACAGGTTTCTAACTCTAGGCGAAAACAAATATAGCTTTCAAACGGTAAGGATACAACTTGGGCTATAACTTTTATCTTTATCATTCTAGTTATATTGAATTTTGATTAACCTCCCACTCGCCTGATAGCGTATTAATATAATATACTAATTTCTCACTCTTGTTTTTCAATAATAGCTGATGAATTAGTCTGACTTATTCAGTTATTGATATTAAGTAATTAAGAAGTTGTGCAAGTACCGCTTTCTCATATCATTGATGTTACTGAGTGGGATGATCCCAGGTTTTTATTGAGTTCTGATAATTGAAAGTGGAACTTGAATTTGAAATAATTCACTTGTTTTGTTTTAGTATAGACTATCAAAGCTTTATTTTAAAATACAAATAAATAAAAGGAGAACGGAGCAAACGATTTGGGCACAAACGGAAGCGTAAGATAACTTATTCTTAGCGAAGTTTGGTACAAAATAATTCGTAGCTACTTGAAAAATAACTAAATAAATATTTGGATATAGCAGGCGTTAAATCATTTTGTAGGGTGTGGGAAATATAAACTTCTACAAAACTAGTTTAATATTTCATAATATTTAGATTGTTATTTTAAAATTTAATACAAAACTACATGATGGGTTATCCATTGCAGGTATTCAAACCCTGGATTTTATTATCTTTAGCATTGTAAGCCCTTAAACTTAGTGTTGACGCATGTGGGAAAATATTTAAGATCAGAAGTTTAAAAGAAGAAATATATCTATACAGATTACTTTCTAAGTTAATACACTACCACTATCTTCACACACATATTAATTATGTGCCATCAATTAAAACAAGAAAAACTGGCATTACCAACATTGCAATGCAACAATAAAATAAAATGGCTTTCAGCGAGAGTCATCCTTTCTTTACTACTTTAGCTTCGCGGATTCTACTTTTAAAAGCTAATTTAAAAACTCCTACTGTTTGTGATTCTTTTCCCTGTCAGTTTCTGCCCTTATTGTGTTATTGTGACAAATTGTAGTGTTACTTTCTTGTGGTCATCATTTTGATAACAACATTTGCAACTAGCGTCCCTTCAGTTTCAGTTCTGAACCAGCATTTTGACCATATGGTCCAGGTGGGTTAGCTCACTGACCTCTTTCACCCTACTTGTCAGTGTGGGTTCTTGTTTAGTAAGCAGGTGTTGATTTATCATGCAGCAAAGTTTTGGATGTGTTCACTTGGCTACTGTTTCTTGTTTCACAGACACCTAAGCCATAGCCCTTGACAATGTATTGTCCATAAATCACACTTCATATTTGAAAAGATTTCAGCCTTTAGCTTGTACATATGAAGAACTATTGGAGGGAAAGAAAACAAAAGGGACAGAGAAGGATGTGAATGATAAACTTAAGGAGATTATAGTTATAGGTGATTCTTTAATAAGGCATGTGAATGGGATAGTCTGTGGGGTAAATTGGGAGAAGAAATTAAATTATGCTATACAGGGTAATGGATGGAGAATATAACTAATGGATCATGAGATATTATAAAGAGGGTTAGCAATGATGCAGTCTTTGTTGTGCACATAGGAGCTAATGATATAGGGAAGGGTAGGTCAGGGGAGCTACTTGATAAGTACAGTGGGTTGATAAAGGCATTTAAAGAAAAGGGCCATAACTTAATTGTGTCAGGGATACTGCTGAGAATTAATTGTGAGGATGAAATTATCAGTAGGTCACTATGGCTGAATGCTAGGCTTAGGTTAATATGTAAGGATGAGTAGATTGGCTGGTTGGACTTTGGGGATCAGTTCAGTGGGAGAAGGGAACCTTTTTGAATGGATGGTTTGCTTTTTAATTAGGTAAGGACTGGCTTGTTTGCAAGGGCTATTAACTTAGCTGTAAGGGAAGTTTTAAATGAATAGAGAGCCAGGATAAACTAAATGCAGAAAACATAAGATGTAAAGGAAAGTTTAGTATAGGAACAAAGTACAGAAGTAGTTCTAAGGGTAGGCTTTACTGTTACTATTGTAATGCTAGAAGTACAAGATATAAAACGGATGACTTTAGAAAATTGGTAGAAATGGAGGATTTTCATATAATGGGAATAACTGAAATATGGTTAAATGTAGACAATTTTGATAACAGAAATTTCTTTGAAATACAGGGTTACAGGTTATTTAATAGGGATAGAGTACTAAAGAGAGGGTGAGGAGTGGCTTTATATGTAAAATGTGAGTTACATCCTCTTAAAGTTGAGGGTATCAAAGATAATAGCAAGGAGATGGAATCCATTTGGGTTTCTGTTAGTGAATATAATGGGAAAAGGCTCTTAGTGATACTGATGAAATTAATGAGAAACTTTATAGTGAGATTAAGATTTTGGTTGTTATTGAGGTCATAATTATGGGTGATTTTAGTTTCAGGCAAATAGATTGGGAAATGTTAAGAGTCAAACCATGAGGGAGGAAGGTTTTTGGAAACTGTTCAAGATAATTTTCTTCACTAATTGGTCGAGGAACCTACTAGGGACAATGCTATTTTAGATTTATTGTTTACTTCAAATATAGAAATGGTTGAGAGGGTGGAAATTGGGGAACATCTGGGTACAAGTGATTATTTCCTTATTAGGTTTGATGTTTTACTGCACATGGAGATCAGGAATAATGACATTTTGGTTACAAATTTCAGAAAAAGCTAATATTGAAGGGATACTACAAGAATTATCTGTTGTTAATTTGGCAGCTGAATTGTTTGGAGAACTGATCAAGTGTTGAAAATTTTTAACTATTCAAGATAAACATGTTTCTTATAGAAAAAAAAAGAGTGATTGCATGTAAAAACCAGGTTAACTCACACAGAGTGTAAGGGATAAAATTAAAGAAAAGCATCACAAGTTTAAGAAATTTAAATTGACTAGTATGTTGGGAGATTTAGAAGATTATAGAAGATCAAGAAAGTTGGTTAATCAGGAAATTAGGACATCAAAAATGATGTATGAAGAAAGGTTGGATGAAAATGTAAGAATTAACACTAAAGATTTCTTTAAATACATTAAGGGTAAACAAAATTTTAGGATGGGATTAGGGCCTCTGAGGGATGATAAAGGAAGGCTTGTATCTGATGGCTGGGCTGTTAAATTCTGCTTGTTCTTCAGTTTTTACTAATGTAGATTTAAGCAATATTCCTCATCCTGAACCAAGATCAATCAAGATGACCACGTTAATTGTGAACTTTAGAAAAAATTGGAAAGTTTTAAGAATAATAAGGCTCTTTGGACAGATAATATTTCTCCAAGGGTTTTGAAGGAGGTTAAGGATTAGATATGTGAGCCACTTGCTACTATTTTTTGTAAGTCCTTGAATAGTGTGCAGGTGCCAGAGGATTGGTATTTGGCTAATATTACTCCTATTTTCAGGGGAGGTGATAAAAATTGTTCAAGTAAGCCTTTGAAGAGGTTACTGCTTGTGTAGATGAGGGAATGGGTGTATCTGGATTTTCAGAATGCATTTGACAAAAGTGCCACATAAAAGTTATTAAAAAGTCATCTCTATAGGTTTGGGGGATAGGTTGGCTCATTGGTTAGAAAACTGGCTAGATGGAAGTAAGTAGAGGGTTGCTATAAATGTATTTAGTCAAACTGGATTAATGTCATGAGTTGGGTACGTCAAGGCTCAGTGATAGGACCCTCGCTCTTTTTGATTTACATCAATGTCATAATAAAAGAATGGTCATTAGGTTATTTAATATTTCTGATGACATTAAAGTTTTGGTTGTTGCTATCTGTGAGGAGGATGCTTCTGCTTTACAAAAGGATTTGGATTATTTGGTGAGTTCAGTGAATAAATGTAAGATTACTTTTAAGAATAATAAATGCAAGGTTATGCATGTAGAATATCACAATTTGAATTATGAGTATAATTTTGATGGGAATATCATTGATGTTGTGGTTGATCAGTCTTAAACCATCCAAGCAATGTGCTGTTGCTAGTGGCAGGGCAAATAGGATTTTATGGTTGTATCTATTGAAATGTTGAATACAAGTCTAAAGAGGTTATAATGTCATTGGTTAGGCCATATTTGGAATACTTTGTTCAGTTCTTGGGCTTCTTATTTTAGAAAGGACATTGAATTGTTGGACAGGGTTCAGAGGAGGGCTACTAGGATGTTTCCTGGGATGGAAAGATTGTCATACAAAAATCGATTAAGATCTAGGAACTTGTTTTCTCTTGAAAAAAAAAAGCTAGAGGATCTGATTGAGGTGTTAAAGATTGTTAAGGGAACTAATAGTGTTAATGCATTATATATTTTTTGTACTTAATGGTGAGAATGGTAAGATTAGGAGATATAAATTTTGGTGGGGTAGGAGTCATCTTCAGCTAAAACAGCTTTATAATTTTGTTTTCTTTATGTTTAATTTAGTGGATAGGATGGTCTAGAGGGATCATTAGGCTCCTTGTTATCCTTTAATGTTATGTTTAATAAATGTTTTTTTTTGGGGGGGGGGGTTGATGTCTGATACACGGGTAAGCATCAAGTACTGAACTATGAGGGTCATTGAATAAACTATTTGTTTTTAATTCTGATTCCTAGATTTGATTTTGTACAACTTCATGTAGTTGTTGTACTGAAATGAAACACTTTATCTTAGGTCTTTAGCTTACTTAGTGAAATTAGTTTAAAAGTGATGGTCTGCTTGGAACTTCTGAATTATTATGCACTATAGGACTTGAAATGTAAGTTACTGCATCTGATGAAATGCACTATTAACTGTCCAGTATTTATTAAATGATCATAGATAAATTATTTTGTTATTAATTTAGAGATTGAAAGATTGCATCATAAATGCAAATCAAGATTTTATTGAAGTATGACTATTTGACAGATTTGAAATATGATTTATTGGAGGAAGTAATTTCATCATGTGCTGTTGAGTTAGGTTTTTCTTGAATCTATAGGATAAGTTATTTGACAGAGTATGACACTTCTAAAACAAAACCTTCATTTTATATTTACTGTATGTGCATTTGAACAAATATTGAGTATCCAGCAGTTATAAATTAGTGTAAATTATTGCCAAATATGCATGTAATATATGAAATAAATTTTTAATAATTCAGTAAGCCAGATCCTAGCAGTGATAAATAAATTATCACCAAATATACATGCATAATAATTTTGTGTATATATAGTAGAAAATCAGTTTTTAATCAATTGTTAGAAAACACTAAGTTTACTGTTTGCCTAATATTAATGTCTATGTGTGTGTGTGTGTGTATGTGTATATTTAGGAGTTCCAGTGTCTATTAATATACGAAAGTTGTGTACAGTATACCTACAAAGAAAATGATTTTGTTTTCTATAAATGCTCAGTTTTTGTAATTTGTGTATATCATAAGGAAATAATATACTTGACATTGTTACATGGGAGTGTTGAATAAGTTCAACGGCTTGTAAGTTGTGCACATGTTTTGAATAACAGTTAATTAAGTTTTATGAATGATGGAGTGTAAAAGTCTTTGCAACTTGGTTGTTTTATACATATGATGCTAAATTTCTTTGAACTTATGAGGTTAATTGAGGTGATTGTTATAAAAAAATTAAAATGCTGGGTAGGTTTTTTTCTTTTTTTAATAAAGTTAACAGCTGTAGAATTTGTATAAATGTTCATTTTACTTTCATACTGGCAAATAATTCCAGAATACATGCCCAAAATTTGGTGTTTTGTATTAATTATTGTTGAATTGTTTGTAGATAGACAACATGCATAATATATTATTATTGCTACCAGTTTCTCAAAGTTTAATTATTTAGTTTAAAAGTCATAGATTACATGTATTTTTAAAAATGTTTTTAAGGCAGGTATGAATAATATATTTGTTAAACATTTCTTTTGGCTTGCCAGAATATTAGTTCTTTAATGCTTGTAGAAGAAATCAAACATTGTTTGGTACATATTCGTGATAATTAGCCTTGTTTAGAAAAACATTATCATATACCATTAATTGTCCAAATATTTGGCTTATTTGTATGTTGTTTGACTTTTAAAGTGGCTGATTTAAATTATTTTTATTTCAAAAATCACTTTTCACATGTTGTATGGCCATGTAATCTTTGATTTTCAATTTACAATTTAATAGAGTATGTAACACATAGACATTTAAAACAGCCCAACACTATTTCAGGTGGACTTTAGATTAACAGAAACTTTCTTTATAATTTTTTTGCAGTATCATGAATAATGAAACTGATGACATATCTTCATCTGCTGTTGATCAGAGAGAAGATATAGGTGTACCTGATGGTCAGATTGGATCAATATCACGGAACAATTCTGGGTATAGCACTGCCAGCATGAGAAGAATTCAAATTGCCATTCAAAGGAAAGCTCTAAATCAGCAAGATGTGGAAGAGATGTATTCTACTGGTGAAACCTTTAAACCAAACTCAATGAAAAAGGCAAGTGTATATAGGTTTTTCTTTGATCAGTTGAACTACCAAAGTTACCAAATTATTGCTTCATTAATTGGAGAAGGTAAATACATTTACTTGTAACTGACTGCTTGTCAGATTTGATGGAATTACAAGACAAAAAAAATCATTTTGAATTGTGTATGAATACAAAATAATAAGCTTTATAAGACTGATAAAACTACACTTTCATAACAATACTGTAGGTATTAGTGCCAGAGTAAATTAAAAAAAAAGTAGTTTTCTTTTACTGCATCTTAGAGCTTAAAATTTCAACATCTACATACTACTGTGAAACAAAAAAAATGAACAGCTACAATCTTTATATTCTTAATTTGGAAATTATTATTTTATTGATTTAAATTTTGGTAGCTTGTAATAAAAAGGCATAATTAATGTATATAATATATGGTGTAAGTTAATGAACAATAATTCTATAAATAACTGTTAAACATTATTAAGAACAGATTTGGTATGGTGCATATAAATCAATTACAATTACTATTCCCCAGTATATTTTAAAGTCTATTCAGGCAACTGTGTATTTGAAACAAGGACTTCAGCTTGTGATCATAAGCCTATTGATGAGTAAATATGCTTTAAGAAGGAAGAAAACAATGCATATTTGTTGTTTTATAATATTTATTTAGTGTAATTCAAGAAGAAAAATAAAGAAAATGTCGAAATTTTCATATCTGAGAGTCACCTGTAAACAATGCACTTGCAAATTTTTTAGAATTTTTCTACCCATCACAAAGAATAGCTTTAATATTGATAATCACCTACTACCCCTTGAGAATATGTAACAATTATTTTGATTTTCTAGCATTTCTATTGTCTTTTTTTGGGGGTTACATGTTGTACAGGCTTTGATTACCACATTTTTTTCTATTTCATGATGTCACATCAAGTGTTTGATGATGAAATACAGCTTTGAAAACAACTATAAATGTAGTTCAAATGTGATTGGATAGAGCAAAAATTAGTCTTTTCATGTTATAGAGTAAATTCGGTGGTTTGAGTAGTAGTAAATAGTTTCGTGGGAGAGTTTCTAGTCAGAGTGAAAGTGTTTTGTATTTTAACTTTTACGTGTTTGAAAGCTCAGATATTTTCTTTTATGAAAAACAATTAAAAAAGCTTTACTAGACGAGAAACCATCAAATAAGTTTTAGTTAGGTTTTGTGAGTATGGTAGGTGAGGGCAAAATATTCTGATGACTTAAATTCTTATATGTTGAATATTATTTTTATATTTCTGGTATTTGAACAATGTACATAAATAAATTGGCTACTTAATGATTTCTAATCGTAATCATGATATGTTTTAAACAAATATATTATTGCTGTTATCAATAATATTAGAACATGTTTTCATAATTTTATCATCAATTTCTTTGATTTACTCAGAATAATGGGGGTGGTTAGTGCATATTTTAAAAAGACAGTCACATGGTTGTCTCAATATTAGCAATTCACCAAATAGTAAATGTCTAGGTTATCTTTAAAAAAACAATTTGTGCCCAAAGTTTTTGCCATTTTTTATTCTTTAGCCATCTCATGTGAGAATAATCTATTAGTTTAATGTAACTGATTGATGAGCCTGGTGATTAACTGATCAGCAAATTTCACTAATCACTCAGCTTTAGCTAGCACTATACAAGAAAGAATGGAATTTATGATTTCCTGGAAAGGAATGGGTCAATTTACATGTGTACTTTTTCCTATGGAGGGTGTGCAAAGACAGCCTTGAAGGACCACATGGTCCCTTCTTGTCTATAGGCTATGTTATAATTCACCCTTACCCTGTAAACTGTCCCACAGGTCCAAGCAGCCTACCTGTTGCATTTAGCATATCCCTGAAGACTTTATCTTTAAGCCATGTATCCTGCTAGGTATTCATTTCTGCATCTAGCCTGAGTGCGCATTCTTGAAAGGGCCATATGTCTATTTCTTACATTTAAAGGAGTTTTACATAATATTTTAAGCAGCTCTTATGATTTACAGTTTTTAACATCATTTAATCTTACAAAAACAAAGAAGTATTCCTTGATACCAGCAACTAAAGTGTGTGAACACAATGTGATAGTTTCCTGTTCTTTAGCACCTTGGCAAGTAAATTCGAGCCCTAGTATTTCTGTGCTCCCAACTACAAATAACTTTGTGTATACTTAATGAGTGTCTGCCACAGTGGTTTTATGGGCTACTTTTTTCTTTACAGTAAGAGTTTTGATGCAGTGCTTATACAATATTTTTTAAGGTAGAATAAAGTTATGCATTGTTACAAACCATATTCTTGACAGGTGAACTGTCCATATACGATATAGAGCCAAAAGCCAAGTATTTGTGTTACCTAGTGAAGCAAAGTCTTATCAGAGCTGGTCTACTTGAACTGTTACTGTAATCTGATTAACCAACAAATATGATCTTTAACCATCTGCTGGCCAGATGTGATAATGCTGCTATCTGAAGTGATACAAGGATATATCAATTAAACCACTTGTATTCATGTAAACATTTTTTGAAGTGTGAAAATTCTGTAGTGGTCCTTACATATGAGTAGTAAATGTCAGTATTGTGTTTAATGTTGTGTAATATACTGTTGTTGTAGAACTTATGGTATATGTTAATTTTTAAATGAGAACTCCAATGGCAGTGAAATTTCTTGAGCACATGTACATGTATATTGAACAAAATGATAATACTGTAAATGTATAGTGATACTGTATGTTTATTTTACCTCTGTTACAAAATGTAACTTGCAATATTATTTTCTCATCATATTAATTTTACAGCAGTAGCCTTCTTTTTTTTTCACATATAATCGAAAAAAATTTAATCTTTTCTGCATTGTAAAACAAAATCAAGACTTACAAAATTTAATCATTCAGATACTTAAAATTTGAATAAAGCTATATCTGATGAAAATCATTCTTCACTGCATTCAATTAACTCAATAAAATATACACAAAAAGAGAAATGTTAAAGAAAGCAATGAAGATTAGTTTTCTTTCTTATGTTTTGCTTATTGCACCTTTTTTTATTCATTATTAGACTTGTACTATTTATGTGTACATGTTTGTAAAATGGTTTACCATTAATGTGCCTTTTACATAGTAATATTTTTTTAAACAAATATTAGTTTCAGCTTTTAACAAATTGAGATTATACAAGAGACAGAAAATTTTCATTTATCATAAAGCTATTATTATTATTATCAATTTTAGTATGGTTTATTCAAGATGTGTATGGATTAAATGTTAATATATTTGACACGTAAGATAATTTTATTTAAATGGAAGCATACGAAGAAGTTTCTACAAGCTCTCATGTCTGATTTTTAAAATTTCCATGTAGTTTATTAACATATATTTTATGTTAGGAAACCATTTCAATATTATTCAAAAATTTTTCTCAGAACAACAGATCTGTTTGTAAGGGTTTTACACCAAATTCAGAATTATATACAGGTTAATCTTTGTATGTCATATTACAAATGTTTGATATTGATTAAACTTAACTGTTATTTCACAGAAGTAACAAATTCTTTCATTACAGGTAGCACAGAAGGTGAAAAAGTCTTGTATGTGCTCTTTTCCCTGTCTTCTTTTCTTCCTAAAACAACGTTTCCCAATACTTCAGTGGTTGTTAAACTATCCAGTGAAAGAATATTTATTGAGTGACCTTATTTCAGCATTTACAACCCTATTTCTGCACATTCCTCAAGGTTAGAAAGTGAGATTTAAGTGTGTTTTCTTGTGATGTATTAATTTTACCTGAAAAGAAGGTAATTAATGCTTTATTTTAAGTTTGGAATCTATAGTATTTTCAAGAATTTGTCATATTTATCATTTATTTACTGTTTCATCATTGTTAATGAATGTATAAATGTATGAAATATAAATATTCATATGACTTTGTCCATTCATATAAGATTTTGTTGTTTTGGTATACCTAAACATATATATATGTGTGTGTGTGTGTGTGTGTGTGTGTGTTTGTATGTTGTGTATATGTAGAATATAAATCATAAATCTAAAATTATAATAATTATATTCTTTACCAGGTTTGCATTTACAGATACTCTTGAGCATGGTCAACAATTCAGTCTTTTGTTTGGGTAGGCTAGTCTATCACATATGTGGGGTTGCACAACTTAGAAGAATCAATTTATGCTCCTGTAAGAATAAACTGTCCTCAGTAACTTTCATAAAACCTCTTTCACTCTCTCTACATATACTGGATAATATTTTTGAGTCAATGAGAATAATATCCCATGAGGGACTGTTTTTTGTTGGGGGGGGGAGGCTAAGTCTTCTCAAGCCTCTTATATATCCCATCTCTGCTTTGAGAATCATAAAAACTTGAACAAACATGTACATAGGGAACAAAACTGTATACAGACTGAATCTAATCATTAAAACATTTTCCGTATAAACAGTTGGGAGAGAAAAATAATTTTTTTCAACTACCAAAGGAAGGAATTTAGAATTAGAAATTTTATATGAAAAATAGAAAATGGGCTATTTTTATTAATAAAAATATCAAATATAATATTTCAAGAAAGAAAGAATCACTTTAAATTAAAAATATATGAAAACATTACTATACAAAAAATTATAAAGAAAATATTTTGATAATAATGTGTAAAGAATATTATCAAAAAATGATTGAAGAGAATTTAAAGAATGATAAAAATGAATAAAGAGAAAAATTTGAATTATTATAAATATAAGAACAATATCAAAATAATATTTAAATAAAGAAGAAATTGAATATATTTTCAGTACCTATGGAATATGGAATTATAATGCTTTATGACCGTCAGAGTGGGTGTGAAGGATTCTTCTAGAGTAGATGTCTGTGACTTGTTGGCGATAAAGTTGAACAATAAACAGACAGCACGCATTCCACTTGTTTTAAAATAATATATTCAAAACAAGATAAATATATGTAAAAAAAAGTCTTTACACTATGGAGATCATAGTTATATCTTGGACACTATACAGTTCTCTTCTTCTTGTCAAAAGGCCACTTAGGCTAATTCAATTGCTTTAGAATTTGGTTTACAAGCCAAACTAATTTTCTCTACTTTTATCACAATATAGTATTGGTGAATAATTCATTTATGGTGTCGTGTGAGATACCGCATTTATATCCTGAACATCTAATAATTGTTTTCCTTCTGTCAAAGTCCACACAAGTGGGTTCAATTAGTTTAGAACACCCTTTGACAAGACAAACTATTCTCCTTATCCCTATCAAACTGTTAATTTCACTTTAACATATCAACTGTTAAGGCTATTCACTGCCATGGTGCCTGACTTCACATTTTCTCTGACTGAACTTCCTTTTCACTTGACTTTACTTTTACTCTTCTCCCGCTTATTTCGTCACTGCTATTTATATGTTTATCACTGAGGCCTCTAGAATTTTCTATATCCTCAACACTAATGAATTGCAAACACAACGTATGATAGCTTTAACATCGATTAATTACAAACACAATGTACAACTCTTACCAAGTTACATAACCAAACTTGTCATAAGATTCATAAAATACTAACTCACAAAATAAATAAATTAATAATACCTACACGTAAATTGTCTTGTAAGTCCAACAGTGACAAATATTAGGTCGTCAAGAAATTGATGTCACTTTTTTTAAGATGAAAAACCCGACCAACATATGTATCAAACAAAGCATTTATTAAATGAAATAGTCTCCATTCCTATTAATGATACTTTTCCATCTTACAATCAGGTTGTTAATGTCCTGATTAATGAAATCACTTGGCTTTGAAGTAAAAAAACATGTCGAGGTCCTCTTTAACACCTTTCACATTTTTATATGTTTTCGCATTAAGATGGTGTTGCAACAATTGACAAAGATGATAATCTGATGGTGCCATATCTGGAGAATATGGTGGGTGGGATAGAACTTCCCAACCCAACTCCATAATCTTGTGTTGCGTCAAACGTGCCACATGTGGACACACATTGTCATGGAAAAGAAGAACACCTTTCCAATTGACAATTGAAGGTCGTTTCTGATGAAGGGCTTTATTTAAATTGATCTCTGCATTGACAGTTCACTGTGGTTTGAGGAGTTCGAAATTTATTATTCTTTTGATGTCCCATCAAATGCAACACATCACTTTCTGTGGATGGAGTCCAGGTTTTGGTGTCAGAACTGATTTTTCTCTAGGACTGAGCCATTGTTTTTGGCATTTAATATTTTTATAGATAATCCATTTTTCATCACTGGTGACAGTTCTGTCCAAAAATGGTTTATGCACATTACGTACCAGAAGAGACAAAGCAATGTTCACACGTTGGAAACAATGATCATCGGAGAGTTCATGAGGCACCCAAACACCTTCTTTATGTAGTTTTCCCACATTCATTAGATGTTTATATATTGTTTCATGAGAGACATGCAATTTCAGGGCCATTTCACGAGTGTGTTGCCTTGGATTAGACTCAAGCATCTTCAGAGCATCAATATCAATTCCAACATGTTGGCTTCTGCCATCACAGTTTTTAAAGGCTAAAGTCACCTGTACGAAATTTGCTGAATCATCGTTGACATTTACGAATGTTCAAAACATTTCCATGTTTGATATTCTTTGTGGCTACAGAGGCATTGTTTCCCTTGTATTTAAACAGCATTACATTCCAAATGTGTATCTCATTGTGTGCAATCACTATAAAGGATTAAAGTCTACTAAACTTTACACATTATATAGGCTACACTAATTTGATGTTGAGGCAGTTCATTTAACTATTATACGTGATGTACATTTTTTGGAGGTGGTTAACGAAAGTGTTCCAAAACATGACATTAATTTTGGGATGACCTAATACATGAATGTGATATAATCAAAGATTATGTTAAAAACATAGATGAATATTTGTGGTTAGAGAATCCACCAAAAATTAAAGTAGGACCTGTTGTAAGATGAATCAAAACCACTATTGAACATCTGAGTGAACCTGTAGATACTGATAGAAATATTTTATTATGAAAGTAGATAGAAGGGTTAATTAAAGGTGTTGAATAGTTTGTTAATATACTTCTGAAAGAGATACATAGAAAGTAATATTTTTTCTTAATGAATGGATTAATTTATATCTTAATATTGGACATTGTTATGGATTAAAAGCTCTAGAATGCTATATTTATAATTTTTAAACTTTTTAAAACATTAGGTTCAAAAGAGAAACAATAATGGAGGGTATTAGTTTTGTTTTTAGTAACTTTTTTCAAAACTCTTCATTATATATGTTAAATTTCAGGAATAGCTGCAGGTGATAAGGTAGTTTTATCTACATCCCCTTGTCATGGGATATTTTGAGATAAAAATGTTTAAACTATCACCTAGTGTTTATCAAGAAAATTAGCATGGAAAAGAAATTTACATGATTTGTTCTTATAGTTTGGAATGGTAGATACTTTTTCAGAGTTCTTGAATACAATTAGAAATCTATTCAATTTGCCAATGAACATTGTAAAAAAAAACCTTTTTCTTTTAATGTTTACTAATTACAATAACTGAAAAATGGAGAAACGGATGTTTTTTTTTTTTCCTTTTAAACCATGTAATTCACATCTTCACTGAGTTTTTATAGTAATCAATCAAACCTGCCTGTCATGGCCTGGTGGTTAGGGCACTTGACTCATAATCTGCATGTCAAAGGTTCAAATCCCTGTCACCTAACATGCTCATCCTTTCAGCCATGAGGACATTATAATGTAATGGTCAATCCCACTATTTATTGGTAAAAAAGTAGCCCAAGAGTTGGTGGTGGGTGGTGTTGAGTAGCTACTTCCTTCTTGTCTATCACTGCTAAATTAGGGAGGGCTAGTGCAGATAGCCCTTGTGCAACTTTTCACGAAATCCAAACAAATCAATCAAAACATACTAAATTAAAGATTTCAAAGTATTTAGCTAAAGCTTATATTATTGTGTGTCCAGTAAAGAAAGAAGAGAATTTAAACTAATTGAACTTAAAAAGGTCTGTGTTTCACTAAAATCAATTGTGAAGAAATTTATTCAAAACTTTGTTTGTTGTGAAGCACAAAGCTACACAATGAAGATTTTGAGTTCTGACCACTCCAGGTATCAGTACCTCATTATTAATGTTATAAGCCTTCAGACTTACTACTGAGCCACAAGGGGGGGGGGGGGTGGCTTAGAGAAAAGATTGTTCAATCTTTGTTACTATGCATTGTCCTAAAATGTATCTAAAATGGGTACATAATCAATTAAATGATGTAGCTGCTGAAACATTATTTAAAGATATTTAATAACCCTCTCACTATGGGTAGGTGAAAGTGTGCATCTCATGACCTTTCACAGAGTTATATTGAAAATTTAATCAAACTATGCTATTATAAATGTATAGAAGTAAACCTGACATCTAGACATATAATATTAAAATTTGATTTATTAACTAAAAGTTTTAAAATTGTCACTTCAAAAGAAAATATTTAAATAAATCTTCAATCTTCCCTTTTATGAGAATTGTGACATTTATTCTCCAGGTCTTACCATTCTTTAATTTATTTACCACCCCTCTCTAAATATGGAGTTTAATGTAAATTACTCATTATAATATAGATGTTACTAGTGCAGTCTAATTTCCGATAAGGTACATTACTTATGCTCACATAAATAGCTATTCATGTTAAGTGCTGCCCTCTATATGAAAAAATGTTTTTTG